AGCTAACACTATCTCTGTGATTACCCGTTAACAATAGCTCTACTAATTGAAATGATTTGCAGTCGCGATCGACGGACCGTGTTGTTGTTTTTTTCACTCGCCAACACGTGGCGTGAATTACGAAGCCCTACTGCATTGTCATAACTACAGACTGATTTGACTGATAAGGGATTATAAAAAATATGTTTATACTAGAAGCGTGGACAATCAATACATCCTCTTCAAATCTACTCCAAGGAAAAAAATAGTTAACACAGACTATTTTTACGATGCTTCATTTAATAAATATTGAAATAATTCACGAGGTTATTATCAATCACGTGTTTATGTAATGTCAGACGCGAGATCAACATGAAAGTGAGCCGGAAAAAAACCATGCTATACGTTATACGCATAGGCGATTTGAAAATACTTACAGAACTTACATAGAACGGAGCTTAAATATGGGGAAACGCACCGAGATGTCGAAACGTAATGTCGTAAGTTGATCGGCGATTCTCTGGCATAGGAATTTGGCTAAACTTTTTTTTGTTAACGGTTACCTATTTATTAATACTTTTCACATAAACTCACATAACAACACATTATGTATCTTTTATTAATGTTTGACATAAATAAATTTGTTGATCGTCATTTGTCTTAGAGTTCCGTGTACCAAGGGACATAATCCAAGATGGCGATCTCTCAGAATCGTCGATCTTTTCCTGAAAAAAAATTGAATTTTTCTATACCTGTGTAGTTTACGCACCCCCCACTTTGGGTATTAAATTTCTGAAAAAAAAGTGCGCAAATTACATGGGTTTTTATGGTAATACAGATATGCTACAAGGATTGGCCTTGGGGTGTGGCATATTCCCTTGGATCTCATTTGGAGGATATTTTGCAGTGATTGCTTAGATATCCAGGTGAGCGATACAGGCCCTCTAGAACTCTTGTTTTTTAAGACAGAATGACTGAATTTTGATTAAACTTGCCTGGTGTTCTACTGACTCAGTTCTCCCTCAGGGATTTGATTGGCGAATTCCGTGGATATTTAAATAAAGCTGCTATGTTCTGATTGGTTATTTGTTTTCCATGCAATGTCCTATGACAGTATGTTCAAATTTTTATCAACCTTGATTGATGTAGATGTACTGCTTACAAAAGTCTTGGGTTTGATGTTTAAGGAAATAGTGAGTATTTAATAGACTTCATTCTCAAATCTGATTGGCTGAGCTTTCTGTGCAGTGTCTTGTGTGGAAATGATTGGATATTGATAACACTTACCTGGTAATCTACTTACCCTAGCTTTCATGATTGGCAAGTTCTTTGGATATATTAAATGTCTGAGGGTGCTGCATTCTGATGGGTTGATTGCTTTCTATGTGATATCGTTTACAGAATGTCCAGATTTTGAACAAACTTGCTTGATGTAGTTTACCCAAATCTCTCAGTTGGGTTAAATGTTCAGCGAGTTCCACACATATTTAGTGAATTCTGATAGTTTTCCATGCAATATCTTGTGATGGAATGATCAAATTATGTACAATTTCCCCAAGCCTCCTGCTTAGTTTCCAGTGTAACTGGTTACTTAGTCGATATCTAACATTTCCCAGACCCTTTAGTCCAGTGTGGTCACCGTCTGGTGAATCTGAATGTCTGACATACATGTACATATGGCAATTACTTTTTGTTTCATAGATATGATGTTGTTCATGATCGATGGTAAATGGTACAGATAATATAATGAACATGGTGAAAGAGAACCTAATTATTAACCCGATCCCATAAAACAAGATGGCTGCCATGGTTTCTGATTAGCTAAGATATTTGGATCAAAAGTTTTGTTATTCTCTTCTGATTTTTGATGGTTACAGGTATTTGTCAGATTACAAACATGCATATCACCAATACTTCAAAATTTAAAAGGATTGCTGTGGCTTCTGCTCAGAGAATATGGGAGATATTTATACAGTCATACACATGGTGGGACCCTTGCTAATCTGTCAGTTTAAGTTTTGATTAAGAATATAAGTTTTGAAAAACTTAAAATGACTAAACGAAGTGCCTTCATGTCCAGTACAGTGAGCAGGCTGTCTCTGCTTCATTGCTTGGTGGTGCCACAGCTGCTGCCTTTCCAGTTTCCTCTTCCTCAACTTTATCTTACATGATTTCTAGCTCACCTGCCCTGTATGGGTTAGACCTGGTATAAGTGGATAGATACACAGTGCGGCCATATTAAACTACCTGTAAATCCTGTTGACAACAGACTGAACTTTGGAATATAGGCAGTGTTCTGTTTGATATACCATATACCTGTAGGTAGCATACCATAGTATTGGGAGGTTATTGGTTATATCAGTGGGATAAGATTAGTGTGACTGTTACAGGGCAAATCTTACTGAATACACGGAAATAAGTCTAGTTATGTGTTATTCATTGATCAATGAAATTGTAGATACCTTATGGTTCTAAAGAGATATTGTTAGTCTAGATTATGGTTCTTCATGGCGAGAGGGAGATTTAAAATTAGGATCAAATCAATACAAAATCATAGCTTTTGATAGAGCCACTTCTGTATTTTACAATCTTAAGGGTTAAGGTATTTGTTTTCTTTCTGTTTGTATAATGTATGTCTATAGTCAACTTTTGATTAATATCTCACTACTTCTCCATGCTGTAATTTACTCATCTTTACTTCTATTCATATTCACTTTTTAATCCTAATCCTTTTATTTCCAGGAAAACAAAATTGTGCTAGTATCTTAAACATAAGATATGTATGTTAATGATGATTACTGTAGATGTCCAGACTTCTCTTTATCAAGAATTACTTAGATATCCAGAAAATTCAGGTGCCTTTTATCAGAACAACAGTAGATGTCATGGTATCTCTTCATCAGGATTCCCAGTATTACTTGATGAGAATTACTAGCATCCCATCTTTGGAATTAAAATGATAAAACAAGTTTAAGCTGTAGGGTTTATTGGGTGTCAGTTGTGATAAACTGGTTTATCAGGGGTACAGAGAGAGGTCGGAGAGTATTATCTGGTACACAGCTGGCCATGGGCAGGTGTGAATATCTGGTGTATATAGGGACAGGTGTGAAATACGTCATATATTTATGTTTGTGTCTTCAGTATACTGGTGAGAATAACCTTTAGTATATAAATACTAGCACACTGTGTTGGTGAGATACATTATATTACCTCTGTGTTGGTGAGATACATTATATTACCCCTAGCTTGTGTTGGTGAGATACATTATATTACCCCTAGCTTGTGTTGGTGAGATACATTATATTACCCCTAGCTTGTGTTGGTGAGATACATTATATTACCCCTAGCTTGTGTTGGTGAGATACATTATATTACCCCTAGCTTGTGTTGGTGAGATACATTATATTACCCCTAGCTTGTGTTGGTGAGATACATTATATTACCCCTAGCTTGTGTTGGTGAGATACATTATATTACCCCTAGCTTGTGTTGGTGAGATACATTATATTACCCCTAGCTTGTGTTGGTGAGATACATTATATTACCCCTAGCTTGTGTTGGTGAGATACATTATATTACCCCTAGCTTGTGTTGGTGAGATACATTATATTACCCCTAGCTTGTGTTGGTGAGATACATTATATTACCCCTAGCTTGTGTTGGTGAGATACATTATATTACCCCTAGCTTGTGTTGGTGAGATACATTATATTACCCCTAGCTTGTGTTGGTGAGATACATTATATTACCCCTAGCTTGTGTTGGTGAGATACATTATATTACCCCTAGCTTGTGTTGGTGAGATACATTATATTACCCCTAGCTTGTGTTGGTGAGATACATTATATTACCCCTAGCTTGTGTTGGTGAGATACATTATATTACCCCTAGCTTGTGTTGGTGAGATACATTATATTACCCCTGTGTTGGTGAGATACATTATATTACCCCTAGCTTGTGTTGGTGAGATACATTATATTACCCCTGTGTTGGTGACATACATTATATTACCCCTAGCTTGTGTTGGTGAGATACATTATATTACCCCTGTGTTGGTGACATACTTATATAACCACTGTTGATATGAGATACCTATATTACCCCTTGTATGGGTATACTAATACCACCGTGTTGTAAGTACTGTTCAGTAAATATGATTAGTTTGATGTTTTGTATTATAGGACGAACCAAAGGTTAATGGAGACATACCGCCTGTGAAGGAGGTGAAGGAAGTGAAGGAGGTGAAGGAGCCCCCAAAACGTCCCCCACTCACACGCGAGATGAGGGAGGAGGTAAACAATTCTAGTCAAATTTCTATAATGTATTGAAAGCAGGATTTTGCAGGTTCCTCAGAAAATTGTGATTAAGGACATTTCTGCTTCAAAGTTAACATGACATTATTTTGAATGGGAGTATCTGGAAATAAAATTTGCCAGCTAGATTGTAAAGGGGCTAGATACCCAAAATTCTAGAGTAATTTACACTGTCAACTGTCATTTACAAAATGTATCCACTGTTTGTTCATCCCCCACCAGGCTTGTGTGAGGGACGTATGGTTTCCATTCTGTCTGTCTGTCTGTCTGTCTGTTTGTCTGGTGTATTGTTTACCAGTCCTTGTTGTGTCGCCTACAACGCAAGGTGAAAAATTGGTATTACTTTGTCAGCGTCGGTTGCATCTTCCGAAACAACGTTTTCGTGCAATAACTTGAGTTTTTTTGGGTTGATTGAACTCAAACTTGGTACACATATTGCATATTAATAAAGCTCAGACAAGTTCGCATTTCAGAAGTTTACATGTTTTTTAGCCCACCATCAGCTGATGGTGGGCTATTCAAATCACCCTGCGGCCGTGGTCCGTCGTCCGTGGTCTGTCGTCCGTCCGTCGTCCGTCCTTAAACATTTCTTGTTATCAGTATTTCTCAAGAAGTACCAGAGGGATCTTTCTCAAATGTTATATGTAGGTTCCCCTTGGTCCTTAGCTGTGCAGGGCAACTTTTGAGACTGATCGGATAAACAACATGGCCGACAGGCAGCCATCTTGGATTTTGATAGTGAAAGTTTGTTATTGCTATTTCTCAAGAAGTACCTGAGGGATCTTTCTCAAATTTTATACGTAGGTTCTCCTTGGTCCTAATTAGCTGTGCAGGGCATTGTTTGAGACTGATCGGATAAACAACATGGTTGACAGGCAGCCATCTTGGATTTTGATATTGAAAGTTTGTTATCGCTATTTCTAAAGAAGTACCAGAGGGATCTTTCTCAAATTTTATATGTAGGTTTCCCTTGATCTCTCGTTGTACATGTTATATTTTGAGACTGATCATAAAAACAAAATGGATTAAAAGAAGAACTAAACAGATCTTTCTCATATTGCAATGATTGATTCTATTTCTTTCACATTAAGTACTGTACTAGTAAATATGTGAAATGACAAACTCTCTTTGAAGGTTGGCTTTCATACACATCAGTATTAAGTTTAGATCAAATGTTACCTCAAGGTGCATTTACTGTTAACATGACTCGATCAAACAGATTAGAGGAAAGAAGAGAAAAGATCGATCTGTCAAAGAACTTAATGAAGAAGGTACAATGGTGGGCGCCAAGATCCCTCTGGAATCTCTTGTTTTATGGAGTTATGCCCGTTTTGTTGCCAAATAAGGGCATTATGTAGTAAACACAAGAACTTTTTTATTTTCTAATTCATTCCTTTCAAAGCGGTAATGCTAGAAGCAATAATGTTCAACACATATTATGGGTTTTTCTGTTGAGTTTCAACATTTTGCATTTTGGCATACCGCACTTGACATAGCGACGTTCATCATTTTTGCCGTTAATTTTTGCTTATTTCTGCGATAACTCTAGCCAAAACTCTTTTTTTCCCCACTAAAAGCGCTGAGCAGGCGACACATTCACTCCTGTGGAATTCTTATCTAATCATTTGTACAGAGTTATGGCCCTTTATTTTAGGAGACACTAACCCTAATGAGATTTTTAGAAATTTATTTCATAGTATCTAAAAACGTTATGTATTGTTCAACAATTTACGAAGCTTGCAAAATCTCGTGGCACCATATTTTACTCTTAAGATGACTACATGTTTTATACAGGAGTAGCAGGAATTTAGTGCTCTATTTGACTCATTCACCCCCCTATATTTTATAAAAAAAACTTTTCTAACCTTTGAATTGGAATAGTTCAAATGTGTCTTCAGGGTTGAATGAGTGAAGATGACCTCTGGAGAAGAATGTCATGTACAATGCAAATCAATCTTAGATGACTTTAGTAGGTGAAGGTCATGTACTTCTATATAACATGACTTTAGTAGGTGAAGGTCATGTATGTCATGTCACATGTGATGATGTTTTTTACAGTCGCCACCTGCCAAGCCCCAGCATGCCCCAGCCAGGCCTCCTGACCCCAACCCAGGTTTGTATGGTCTACTGTTAACACTTTTCTTCTTGCCTGTGTTTATTGTTAGTCATGAACGGTTTCTAACACAAGACTAAAACATATTTATCAAAATATCTTGAAGCTTAAGAATGGACTCTGGACATGTCTAGTGATTATATCATCTTTTCACATTATGTGCCCCGATTTTAAGTACTCCAGGGATAGTTTTATCCTATAATTTTGTCCTGAAGAAGCCCACTGTAGGGGCAAACCAGGGATAGTTTTATCCTATAATTTTGTCCTGAAGAAGCCCACTGTAGGGGCAAACCAGGGATAGTTTTATCCTATAATTTTGTCCTGAAGAAGCCCACTGTAGGGGCAAACCAGGGATAGTTTTATCCTATAATTTTGTCCTGAAGAAGCCCACTGTAGGGGCAAACCAGGGATAGTTTTATCCTCTAATTTTGTCCTGAAGGAGCCCACTGTAGGGGCAAACCAGGGATAGTTTTATCCTCTAATTTTGTCCTGAAGAAGCCCACTGTAGGGGCAAAACCGGTCGACACTTCTAATAAACTACAAGAATAACTTATTGCTCCTTCGCCTGTTGTGATTGAATCTACTTTACGATGTTCTCACTTTTACTCAATCCCCTGCATACTTTCGGGTATCCAGACGAGGAGCAAAGGACCAAATTATTCCACCATTAAGAAAACCACGGCATTGGCTCTACCCTTGCCTTATCTTTTCACATTGGTTTATTTTCTGTTGTCTGTCCTCAGGGAACGCCATGCTGCTGTCTGCCATAGAAGAACTCAAGAAGGAAATGCGAGAGTTACGGGCAACATGTGCTTCTAAATCAGCAATTGATGAACTGCGCAGCGAAAATGAGAAATTACGAATGGAAGTTGAACACATGCGAAGTAAACAATCGCGACAGATAAAAGACTTAATGGCAGAGGTGGACGAAGAGAAAAAGATTCGACTAAACACACAAGTGGAGGTTGAACGAATCCGCAAACTTCTCACTGAGTCACATGTGTGATTATGTCGGTGTTCTATTCATATTCTCAGGAGCTAAGCATGCAAGGATAGATGTGTATAGGCCAGTCATCAGACATCACAGTGCTACACATAGTCTTACACAGATCAGCAAGTCTTACCTGTTCTCGAAAGATAGTGGATTTAATTAATTTTGTACATAACGCCAATTCATGTTGATATTATGTACAGATAATTCACGTTTTCTGTTTGTGATTCATATTTAGCAAAATGTATCTAACGAAACAGTGAGTTTTTGTATGAAATACATGCTTTGTGAATTGGCTCATCCTCTTGGACCTCACATTAAATTTGACCTGTATGCAGGTGTTGGGTACTCATCATTAGAGCTGGCAACTCATCTAGGACCGAGGAGTTGCCAACTCTCCCTCACTCACATGGTACTGTCTGTGAGGACCACTGTGAGGATAGGTGTGACCAAGAGACACGGGTAGACTGATCCTTATTAGGTCTGGTTGTATCAAAATGTGCTTCATAAAACTTTAAAATGATAACCAGGTCACAACTGTGTTAACCTGTTAATGTATACCTGGTCATAACTGTGTTAACCTGTTAATGTTACAGTATACCAGGTCATAACTGTGTTAACGTTACGTTATACCAGGTCATAACTGTGTTAACGTTACGTTATACCAGGTCATAACTGTGTTAACGTTACGTTATACCTGGTCATAATTGTGTTAACCTGTTAATGTATACCTGGTCATAACTGTGTTAACCTGTTAATGTTACAGTATACCAGGTCATAACTGTGTTAACCTGTTAATGTTACAGTATACCAGGTCATAACTGTGTTAACCTGTTAATGTTACAGTATACCAGGTCATAACTGTGTTAACCTGTTAATGTTACAGTATACCAGGTCATAACTGTGTTAACCTGTTAATGTTACAGTATACCAGGTCATAACTGTGTTAACCTGTTAATGTTACAGTATACCAGGTCATAACTGTGTTAACCTGTTAATGTTACAGTATACCAGGTCATAACTGTGTTAACCTGTTAATGTTACAGTATACCAGGTCATAACTGTGTTAACCTGTTAATGTTACAGTATACCAGGTCATAACTGTGTTAACCTGTTAATGTTACAGTATACCAGGTCATAACTGTGTTAACCTGTTAATGTTACAGTATACCAGGTCATAACTGTGTTAACCTGTTAATGTTACAGTATACCAGGTCATAACTGTGTTAACCTGTTAATGTTACAGTATACCAGGTCATAACTGTGTTAACCTGTTAATGTTACAGTATACCAGGTCATAACTGTGTTAACCTGTTAATGTTACAGTATACCAGGTCATAACTGTGTTAACCTGTTAATGTTACAGTATACCAGGTCATAACTGTGTTAACCTGTTAATGTTACAGTATACCAGGTCATAACTGTGTTAACCTGTTAATGTTACAGTATACCAGGTCATAACTGTGTTAACCTGTTAATGTTACAGTATACCAGGTCATAACTGTGTTAACCTGTTAATGTTACAGTATACCAGGTCATAACTGTGTTAACCTGTTAATGTTACAGTATACCAGGTCATAACTGTGTTAACCTGTTAATGTTACAGTATACCAGGTCATAACTGTGTTAACCTGTTAATGTTACAGTATACCAGGTCATAACTGTGTTAACCTGTTAATGTTACAGTATACCAGGTCATAACTGTGTTAACCTGTTAATGTTACAGTATACCAGGTCATAACTGTGTTAACCTGTTAATGTTACAGTATACCAGGTCATAACTGTGTTAACCTGTTAATGTTACAGTATACCAGGTCATAATTGTGTTAACCTGTTAATGTTACAGTATACCAGGTCATAACTGTGTTAACCTGTTAATGTATACCAGGTCATAACTGTGTTAACCTGTTTATGTATACCAGGTCATAAATGTGTTAACCTGTTAATGTTACTGTATACCAATACACCAGGGGATTGATTTTACCTTTGAGCCTTTGATTCTCCAGTTGTTGGCTGATGACAGTAGACGTGAATGTACATTGTTACTGTATTGGGAGGTAATAGAGAAGGCTGACATTATTGTTGTGTGTTCTCACATGGCCATGGGAAAACAGTATATATATCCGTGTGTACACAGAATCAAAGATATCCCTAGCTAGTGCCTGTACAAACAGGATCGTAGCTTCCATTTAATATATTACTGTTTTCTGTGCTGATATCATTCCAGGAGGACACATTCTTTTCAGTAAACAGGGCCTTTTAGTGTGAAATCTAATGTTTATATCAAATGGTCAATCAAAATTAAAAAATATTTAAAAGTACACTAAAAGGGAGGTATTTACCTTGGTATCAAAGAATTCTACTCGGACAAGTACTATATTAACTAATTATATATTTATGTATATCTGATTAACTAAATGGGATACAACAATGAATATACTAGTTATAAAAATCCATAGGATATTTTTTACATATATTACATGAAATCAACAATTTGGAAATTTGCAATGTTTGCTATATAATCAAAACCCCAATATCAAAAATAATATAGGATTGATCTTAAGCCTTACATAAGCTAGTATTTACATCACTCAGATTTGAGCGTAAGTTTGTGGAGCCTTGATATAAAACACTTAACTGCCAGTTTGAATACATGGGACTTACAAGTAAATTGGTGGAGTATTGATGTATAACAGCATTATTGGTGGAGTATTGATGTATAACAGCATTTCACTGCCCGATGTAACACATCCTGGGTACTCAAGGCTAATACTCACTTATTTTCTCTGTACCCCTAGAAATGTCATGACAAAACCAAATGCAGGCAGTTGCCTATTTGATTACTATCAGGTATAATACTTGAAAAATCGCTTGGCTGATACCTGTCCTTTGAAGAGTTGAGGGGAGTAACACCTGGCTCTAAAGCCAGTCAATTTTACCATAACACTGCCAGGCTATTGTCTACTTCAATCATTCACAAGGTGGAGTGTACAGAGCCGTCGATTACATCATGACATATTCAAAGTGTGCACACAACATAGGAGAGCATAACCCCTACGAGTATCACCAAATTTTCAAACACCTGTAAAATACCTATCTTGCCATTTAAATGTCAGTCAATCATTTGTAAATACAAAAAAATCTTTTTTTTGTAATCCAGCAAATCACTTCTGAAACTCTGTCCAGGTTAAGACGGCGGCCAAGGTATCTAATAAATGTAACCCCAAACTGAGCTTCAATTTAAAACATTCCTAATGTCAAACTTGACTTTGTCTTAAGTTTCAAGTTCATATCAAAACAAAAGGTAAGAAGTACTTTAATTCACCAGAGCAAAATATTTTGACATCATCGTCGCAGCTGAACTTATGTAATCGTGTATCAGGGTCTTGAGAAGTCCATTATTGTTAGACGCTGGACAAAGTACTAAAGTGATCGAATACTTCCTGACAACTTACCCCAAATTAGTGTGTACCTGTAGCTCTGTATATAGCTGCTTGAACCAGGAACATTGTAGGTATTCTTCTCGTATATTCATGGAGAAGTTTCCAGGTATTTGATTAATATCATTAGAATAGTGTTGTGATGAGGTACACATATACCAATATATAACAAAGGTGTGACCGTAGCATTGATTGTGATATATGTACACACGGTACACACCACGGTGATGTTCTACATATAACCTGTACAGTTACCTATACTTGGTTACACCCACACAGGTTTGTTGTAAACATTCACAGTGAAGTCTTGTATATTTACTATAAAACTGAGAAATTACTTCTATACTTAAGTCAGATTTCAGAAGTTGATATAATACAACAAGGATATTTAGTAATAGAGACATATAGAGCTATAAAACTGTAGTCAATCTCTATAATTTATTGTATATAAATGTAGCTATGTAGTGTATATAAATGAGATAGATTGTTTACCTGTACCTACCTACAGTGAATTCCTCCTGTAGTAATTTGGCAAATATTGAGATTATGGTCAGGTGCCTGAGGATGATTCTCCTATTAGAACCTTTCATGTGTACAAGCTCTTTGTAGCTTATGTTTAATGTTTTGCAAAATCGACGGAAAATAAATATCCTTGTATGTTGTGCAAGTCACAACAGATCTGTCAAAAAGGTTGGTTACTGCAGATTATACAATGTCATGCAAATATCTAGAAGTTTTCAATAGTATCCATTCATTATATATAATTTGTAGCACTTAAAGGGCTATATTTACTGTCAAGCAATGGTATATATTCTGGTACAATTAGATACAAATTGTCTAAGGTTGAATACAGTACCAGTAGGCTGTGTGTATGTCAGTCTCCGTGATCTGGCAGTGACTCTGGTAGGCCGACTCTGTTAATATATAGAGAATAATACATGACTTTTTCCATTGTTAATATATAGAGAATAATACATGCCTTTTTCCATATCACACCCAGTATCACGTCGAGGGTTGATACTGGGTGTGATGTGGAAAAAGGCATGTTTTATTTTGTTTATTGCATACTTACTAATGAAAGCTACCATCTTATGATCTATTTTTCTTTTGAAATATTGAAAAACGAAAATATCAAAAGGGGTGTGATACAGGTTTTGCAGGCTGATACGGAGAGGGCAGATACGGGTTTTGGGGTGTGATACGGCGAGGGCTGATATGGGTTAGAGCAATTGTCTCGTATTGCATATACAAAAAAAACGTATTTATTAGTAAGTACGTAATAAATGCTGATACCATGTGTATTAGATTTGGAAAAAGTAATATTGTCATACTGCTAAAGGGATTTAGAGGTAGTTTATCTGAAGAGAGTGATATTAGATTTAATGATATTAAGAAGCTTGTTTATATCATGAATTTCTTGAATGGATGATTTCTGTTGCTAAAATGTAACATAAAAGAATTGTAAGTTTGGGTTTATATAGACTTGTATCTGTATAGAATCATGTGATCTTGTATTGTTTAGGACAAAAGTCAGCAACCTATTGCATTGTAGGTTTTATTTCAGGCATATGTTGTTTCCTACGTATAAGAAACATTTAACCAAGCAAAAAAAGCAAGAAAAAGGGGGAAATGAAGTATCAACAGAAGTATGAGGACAAACATTGAAGTCTTACCATCAGTCAGGTGTTCACTGAAGAGTATGAGGACAAACATTGAAGTCTTACCATCAGTCAGGTGTTTACTGAATACGTCTCAATTAACAGGTTATATACCCACAATACTTCTAGTATTTCTGAGGAGTTGCTAATGTGGTAGACAGTTTAGTCGGTCACCTCCAGTACTTGCATTAAAACTTGTACATTTCATAGGCTAGAAAATAGGAGAAATAGTTTACTGGTTGTCAATAAAGAGTTTATTATAGTACTATTGTGTAAAAAGTAGGCTTTATGATATTTATTTTACATTTACTAATTTTGCTGGCAGACTATTTATTTAATACCTGCAAAGTTATTATTATACAAATCTTTTTTTTCTTCTAACAAGTTAGGGAGTATTTTTGTTACATATCAACTGTACTGCCACGCCTTTGCACATGTTAAGATACCACCTATATATATATATATCTGTATAGAATGTTTATATTGGAGTGTATATTTCTATTGCACACAGCTCTATGTTTCATAGGCGATAGATACAAATGACATCGGAAAATTATTCAGGTTCCCAGTTAAGGAATTAACAGAGAAATTCTACGTTTAAAGGTCAGCTTCGATTGCAATAAAACACAAGTACAATAATGGATGCCAGCTGTTTTGCCTTGTGTAAAAGGGATATAGCCACTTGATGAGTAATTGTATAATGTATCAAATCTCCATTGTTTAAAATAGCTGATGTGTGTTGATTGTTACTCCATATACATCAGACTGATACCTGTATATTTTACCCGTTGTGATTTGCCTGAAAGGCACAATAGATCTGAACTGTGCTGTTTAGGTGTCTACTGTACAAATTTACTGTACACCAAATAGGCACAGAAAGTTTAATTCATGTATTTGTTTTTCATAAATTTGTATGAATATAAATAGCTAATTTCTCACTTGCATGTCCACACCGTTAGGTAGTTTTGTGTGGGCTCACTGGCTCAGCTTGTCTCAGCTTTATTTAGCTGAATATTTATTACAATTTCGCTTGTGGTCAATTCAGTTTATTATGCAACACATTACATAATGTGCAAAGATATTTTGATGAAATAAAAGTATCAAAATTGTACAAAGTGTACAATATTTTGAGATTAAGACCTGTGCCATGCTAACAAAGGTTTCCACTATTATTATAGAATATACTTGTATTGTGTCTACTGTGTTTATAGCACGTATTACGAGTATTAGTATTGATACTGATGTTGCAGGTAGTGTAGTACTATACTGATGTTGCAGGAGTGTAGTACTATACGGATGTTGCAGGGAGTGTAGTACTATACTGATGTTGTAGGGAGTGTAGTACTATACTGATGTTGCAGGGAGTGTAGTACTATACGGATGTTGCTGGGAGTGTAGTACTATACTGATGTTGCAGGGAGTGTAGTACTATACTGATGGTGAAGGACACACTGCTTGAGGTGTTGGTCCTGAAGCACTTGTGTATAATTACAAAATTAATGTCTTAACAAATCTCACTCTCTTTGTCACTCTTTTCTTCTTCATCTCTCTGAAATTTTGAAGACTTTCCAGCAAAATGGAGTTCCTTTTAAGATCACAAGGTCCTCCTTCTAACATGTGATGAACCTGTGTCAGTATGCAGAGTAAATGAAATTCAGGCAACCAAATAGGGTACATGTCTCTGTGTAAGATGCCTCTGTGATGTAAACTAAAGGAGGGCCAGAGTTAAACCTGAAGCTGATCAACTCAATACAGTAAACTATCCATTCTGTATCTGCCAAATCATATCTGATCACCATCATGTGACTGTCACATGATGGTGTTGTAATACCACTTTCATTATATTACATGATTTGTAACATTCCAACATATATATATCTGTATATTTCTACATAAAGATTAATATCTTGCCATCTGATGTTTTGTTGTGTTTATACTCCAGATACAATGGTTGTGAGAGGTGGAGTTATAAACTTGAGTTGTCTATAGACACAAATTTGTCTGCACTACCTAAAGTTCTGCACTAATTATAATGATACTTTACACACATCTTACCCCTCACATAAACAGGCACACATCCTACCCCTCGCATAAACAGACACACATCTTACCCCTCACATAAACAGGCACACTGATACTTTACACACATCTTACCCCTCACATAAACAGGCACCCATCCTACCCCTCACATAAACAGGCACACATCCTTCCCCTCACATAAACAGGCACACATCCTACCCCTCACACAAACAGGCACACATCCTACCCCTCGCATAAACAGGCACACATCCTACCCCTCACATAAACAGGCTCACATCCTACCCCTCGCATAAACAGGCACACATCTTACCCATCAGATAAACAGGCACACATCTTACCCCTCACATAAATGGGCACACATCTTACCCCTCACATAAACGGGCACACATCCTACCCCTAACATAAACGGGCACACATCCTACCCCTCGCATAAACAGGCACACATCTTACCCATCAGATAAACAGGCACACATCTTACCCCTCACATAAATGGGCACACATCTTACCCCTCACATAAACGGGCACACATCCTACCCCTCGCATAAACAGGCACACATCCTACCCCTCGCATAAACAGACACACATCTTACCCCTCACATAAACAGGCACACATCCTGCCCCGCACATAAACAGGCACACATCCTACCCCTCACATAAACGGGCACACATCTTACCCATCACATAAACAGGCACACATCTTACCTATCACATAAACAGGCACACATCTTACCCCTCACATAAATGGGCACACATCTTACCCCTCACATAAACAGGCACACATAAAGTTCTGCACTAATTATAATGATACTTTACACACATCTTACCCCTCACATAAACAGGCACCCATCCTACCCCTCACATAAACAGGCACCCATCCTACCCCTCACATAAACAGGCACCCATCCTACCCCTCACATAAACAGGCACCCATCCTACCCCTCACATAAACAGGCACCCATCCTACCCCTCACATAAACAGGCACCCATCCTACCCCTCACATAACCAGGCACACATCCTACCCCTCACATAAACAGGCTCACATCCTACCCCTCGCATAAACAGGCACACATCCTACCCCTCACATAAACAGGCTCACATCCTACCCCTCGCATAAACAGGCACACATCCTACCCCTCGCATAAACAGACACACATCTTACCCCTCACATAAACAGGCACACATCCCACCCCTCACATAAACAGGTACACATCCTACCCCTCACATAAACAGGCACACATCATACCCCTCACATAAACGGGCACACATCCTACCCCTCACATAAACGGGCACACATCCTACCCCTCGCATAAACGGGCACACATCTTAACCCTCACATAAATGGGCACACATCTTACCACTCACATAAACAGGCACACATCTTAACCCTCACATAAATGGGCACACATCTTACCCCTCACATAAACGGGCACACATCCTACCCCTCACATAAACGGGCACACATCTTGACCTTCACATAAATGGGCACACATCTTACCCCTCACCTAAACGGGCACACATCTTACCCATCACATAAACAGGCACACATCTTACCCATCACATAAACAGGCACACAACCTACCCCTCACATAAACAGGCACAAATCCTACCCCTCGCATAAACAGGCACACATCTTACCCCTCACATAAACAGTATATGTTCTTACCCATCACATAAACAGGCACACATCTTACCCCTCACATAAACAGTATATGTTCTTACCCATCACATAAACAGGCACACATCTTACCCCTCACATAAACGGGCACACATCTTACACATCACATAAACAGGCACACAACCTACCCCTCACATAAACAGGCACAAATCCTACCCCTCGCATAAACAGGCACACATCTTACCCCTCACATAAACAGGCACGCATCTTAACCCTCACATAAACGGGCACACATCTTACCCCTCACATAAACAGGCACACGTCTTAACCCTCACATAAACGGGCACACATCCTACCCCTCACATAAACGGGCACACATCTTGACCTTCACATAAATGGGCACACATCTTACCCCTCACCTAAACGGGCACACATCTTACCCATCACATAAACAGGCACACAACCTTCCCCTCACATAAACAGGCACACATCTTACCCCTCACATAAACAGGCACGCATCTTAACCCTCACATAAACGGGCACACATCTTACCCCTCACCTAAACGGGCACACATCTTACCCATCACATAAACAGGCACACAACCTACCACTCACATAAACAGGCACACATCCTACCCCTCGCATAAACGGGCACACATCTTACCCCTCACATAAACGGGCACACATCTTACACATCACATAAACAGGCACACAACCTACCCCTCACATAAACAGGCACAAATCCTACCCCTCGCATAAACAGGCACACATCTTACCCCTCACATAAACAGTATATGTACGACTGCCATGTTCCATTGATACTGTAGCCTAACAAAGTCCTGGTAAAGTAAGAGGAGAAGACGATAGCTGATAAAAGCCGGAGTGTTAACCACTTTACCAATCCGCCCCTTAAGACAAACTGTACCCGATTCCTGAAAAGTTAAGGGTAACCTGCTTCTGATTGGTTAAAATAAACACCCGACACAGAGGTCAGTACAGTAATGTTTATTACATAAACAACAGCAACAAGATTAAGCACAGTGACTGTTAACTCTCCGTAAAGATAGGTGTTCTGTATTATGTTGCAAATAGAAGAGGCCGACCTCACACAATCTTGTTCTATATAGACGTGATGGTGAATCTGTCGACCAATGATCTGGCTGTGACGGGCTACAAACATAGCACCCATAGTTGGTAGTAACTGTGACATCTCAACAGATAACAAACCGTGCACCCATAGTTGGTGGTAACTGTGACATCTCAACAGACAACAAACCGTGCACCCATAGTTGGTGGTAACTGTCTCAACAAACTACAAACCGTGCACCTATAGTTGGAGGTTAAAGTCTAAACAGACAACAAACTGTGCACCCATAGTTTGTAGTAACTGTCTCAACAGATAATATATACAGCTCACATTCTGTCTCAGCAGACCATTATCTACCTATAAGATTGAATACAACTCTCAAGGACAGTTTGTTTCTCTTTCTATCTTCTAAGACTAAAAGCTTTTAATTCTTGAGGTTACATTCCTAACTATGACAAAAATGTGTAATTTCAAACAAAAAAATGGAAGTATAATGTCCAATAACAGTTGTTTTCATTCAACTCACATACCTGGCCTGCTGTCACCTGTTTGAGAGACGACAGGCTTCACACCACTGTAATGTACACTCACATCTCTCTTCCTATCGTTCCTTTGTTCAGTTCAATAGCTCCGCAGCACTGACACTAACAAGTGTTTATATTTTAAAAATACATGTAATGACAAAAAGTTCATCAACATACCGGTATGATATAATACACTTTAATAGTGGAAATTTGAACTTTAATCTATTGGTGTGAAAATGTTTAGGCCATGGTAACACTGAAATACATGATGCTATAGTGTGCTTTAAATCACTCATGTGTGTTATATACCACCTGTGTTTGTTATACCACTTGTGTGTGTTATATACCACTTGTGTGTTATATACCACTCGTGTGTGTTATATACCACTCGTGTGTTATATACCACTCGCGTGTTATATACCACTCGTGTGTTATATACCACCTGTGTTTGTTATACCACTCGTGTGTGTTATATACCACTCATGTGTTATATACCACTCGTGTGTGTTATATACCACCTGTGTTTGTTATACCACTAGTGTGTTATATACCTCATGTGTGTTATATACCACTCGTGTGTTATATACCACTCGTGTGTGTTATATACCACCTGTGTTTGTTATACCACTCGTGTGTGTTATATACCACTAGTGTGTAATATACCACTAGTGTGTGTTATATACCACTCGTGTGTTATATACCACTAGTGTGTTATATACCTCATGTGTGTTATATACCTCGTGTGTGTTATACCACTCGTGTGTGTTATATACCACTCGTGTGTGTTATATACCACTCATGTGTGGATGTGTTCTTGTCAATTTAGGTAAAAATGTATTCCACTTTTACAATAAATATTACATGTTTATATTGGTTATTTCAGGATTTCACTTTGACCAATGTCCAGAAACACAAGGCGACACTAAAACAAATTCTGTTGATGTGAAAGACTGATGTTGATCACACCTTTCCATCAAATAATGGCATGTGGTATTTCGAGTGGGGACAACATTCCCTAAATATGGAAAGAAACAACACTACAATTAAATAACTTATTTATAAATAAAACATTTGTATTATTGACAACCCAACATTTATATTATATCTTACAGCTCACTATTCTTACTCTCCTTCACAGCTCACTACTCACAACACCTCCCTTTTCGTAACCTCATCGAAAGCTGGGCTAGCTTACTATTTATAATCTCATCAAAAGTCCACTATTCAGGTTCCATTGAACAGCTTACTATTAATATTTCCCATTCACAGCTCAATACTCATGTTCTCGACTGCTCACTATTCATTATCTCCTCACCAGTTCACCATTCATATTTTCCAACAGTGCATGTCTATTCATTTGCTCATAGTTCATTGTTCATATTCTAGCTCACTTACCATAATTTCCTCAGCAACTAATTTTTCCTGTTCTAGATGTTCCACGATTCATATTCTAGCTCACTTACCATAATTTCCTCAGCAACTAATTTTTCCTGTTCTAGATGTTCCACGATTCATATTCTAGCTCACTTACTATAATTTCCTCAGCAGCTAATTTTTCCTGTTCTAGATGTTTCATGATTCATATTCTAGCTCACTTACTATAATTAGGGCCCCGTATCGGAGATACGGGTGCCCTATAGTAATCACTCTGTCTGTCTGTCCATCTGTCTGTCTGTCTGTCTGTCTGTCCGTCCACAAATTTTGTTACTGGCTGATAACTTTGGTATTTATTGACCGATGTACATGTACAAGATGTTTAGTTCACAAAAATACACATTGAGGTAAAAAGTCAAGGTCAAAGGTCAAGGTTATTAGGTTCAAAGGTCAAGGTCAAATTTTACATCTTTTCACTGACTTTGACCTTATGAAGGAAAGTTGATCAGAATTAAACAAGGAGTCAACTGACCAAAGGTAAAGGTCATCGGGTAAGGGGTCAAGGTCAAATTTTGTAGCTTTTCACTGGTGAACATTTCGCTATGACATTATGGAGCAAAGTTGTTCAAAATTAAACAAAGAGACACACTAGGTAAAAAGTTGAGGTCAAAGGTCAAGGTCAAGGTCATTAGGTTCAAAGGTCAAGGTCAAATTTTACATCTTTTCACTGACTTTGACCTTATGAAGCAAAGTTGATCAGAATTAAACAAGGAGTCAACTGACCAAAGATCAGGGTCACTGGGTTAATGGTCAAGGTAATTTGGGTCCAAAGGTCAGAAACAAAGTGAATCTCTGACTTTGACCCTGGCTCTTGATGGAGGAGGTATATAAGATTAAATAAAACAAATCAAAGCTAACAAATGAGAATTGCACAGGTGTTTACATTTCTGTTAGCCCAGCAAATATGGAGGGGGTAGGAAACAAGACTCACATCATAGTACATGTAAAATGTATATTTTGCTTCCTTGCGATTCTTTTTTAAGTCCACATATCAAACGTCAAGCTCAGCTATATGGGCAGATTGCTTCTTGATGATTATGGGAGATATATTGCCACAAGACGGGGCCCTTACTTGACCTGTCAGTGTTCTAGTTTCCTCAACAGTTAATTTTCCTGTTCTAGATGTTTCATGATTCATATTCTAGCTCACTTACTATAATTTCCTCAGCAGCTAATTTTTCCTGTTCTTGATGTTTCACGATTCATATTCCTGCCGATATCCTTGACAGCCCATTATTTATATTCTTCTCCACCACAGCTCTTCACCCTTTCACCCCTATGTAACTTTAGTAGACTCGACCCTGCATTGATCTGGATGATACCATTATGGTCTACAGTGGTGAAAGGGTTCACAACTGTAGACAAGAATCCATGATCCTTCTTTATAAAACAAACAAAATATGTTACAAACAATGGGTAGAAGTGTCGGACAGTGAGACTAACAAGCGGTTTACATGATTGGTTGTATGACACATTTATATAATGTTACCTGGTAATACTGTTTGTTTCCATCAACATAGTTTCATGTCTTCTGGAGTTTCCATGACATGGAGAACCTCAAATACTTTTCACCATAATTTAATATCATACTTCACAAGAAACAGACAACCAGTTTTATTAAATATCCTCATTCTGAGGATAAACACGGAAATCCATGGGGTCTGTATTCACAATACTTCAATTGCTATATATAGTGCTCACTGGCATTAATGCTATTGTAAGATAGCTGTCTTTAAGAATATACACAAATGCCAAGGAGGCACGGTTGTCTAGTGGTTGGACGCCGGGCTCGTGACCAAAGGGTTGCGGGTTTGTGTCAAATCACTTTACTCTGTTTATTCCAGTTTACGCAGCTGTAAATGAGTATGCAGTTGGGCAGTACTGGAATTGTTGAATGCTAGCTGGGAGTGCCTAAATTGCAGCACCAGCGGTATGCTCCCCAGGGAGTTGAGAAAGATATTGATTGATTGGAAAGGCCAAATAACCACGGATAATAATCTGTGAACCGCTTTGAGACAACCTACGTTGTGATAAAGTGGTATACAAGAGGCCCAATGGGCCTGCATCGCTCACCTGGTATAAAACTCACACTTGTAACCTTAAAAGTGATCTAAAATAAAGCTACAGGCAAAATATCAGTATTAATGATTAAAATTCGTTCAAAAGACCCTGTTATTTTTTTTTTAAACATTTCACCCCTGTGATTGAAAGTCGAACAAAGTCATTATGTTGAACACATTGTATAGCCTTTCATCTCAGGATGCAACTTGCAAAGTATAAACATCCTGGGACCCATGGTTATTCATAAGAGGTTGTTTAAAGATTTTAAACAAATTTGACCCCTGTGACCTTGAATATAAGTCAAAGTCATTCACTTTAACAAACATAGTAGTCCTTGATCCCAGCATATGCTACTAACTAAATATCAACATCCTGAGCCTTTTGGTTATTCAGAACAAGTTGTTGAAATATTTTAAACATATTTGCTCCTTGTGACCTTGAATATGATTCAAGGTCATACATTTAAACAAACTTGGTAGCCCTTGATCCTAGTATGCTACTGACTAAATATCATCACCCAGGGCATTTTGGTTATTCAGAAGAAGTTGTTTAAAGTTTTTAACATATTTGACCCCTGTGACCTTGAATATGGGTGAAGGTCATTTATTTGAACAAACTTTGTAGCCCTTTATCTCAGCATGCTACTGGCCAAATATCATTACCCTGGGCATTTTGGTTATTGAGAAGAAGTTGTTTAAAGTTTTTAACATATTTGACCCCTGTGACCTTGAAAATAGATGAAGGTCATTTATTTGAACAAACTTGGTAGCCCTTCATCCCAGTTTGCTTCTGGCCAAATATCATCACCCTAGGCCTTTCGGTTATTAAGAAGAAGTCGTTTAAAGTAAAATATTGACGCCAGACGACGGACGGACGACGGACGTCGCACCACGGCATAAGCTCACTTGGCACTTCGTGCCAGGTGAGCTAATAAGAACCTAAAATTATTATTATTATATTATAATGAGCTGCAGTATTGACCAGCAGCTGTGACTTCTGAAATCCCATGTAAATATATCCAGCCCATGTTTTGGGGGATGGTTTTCCCATTATATACTTTTATATTATATTTACATTTCATACTGGCAACAAAGTTGGCTGGATAAAAAAAGAACCGGTCTGTATCGCAAGGATTTCTCATTTCCCAGTTGATACAATCTATGCATAACACAAAATGGCTGAAGGTGAACATGTAATTACACAAGGTTTCTCAGGAACAAATCATAATGACAACAAAACTCTTACATAAGTTACATGTAGTTGAACATTTAAAGCCATACAAACATACAGGACATATTGTCTTCAACCCCTTACTGACCATGACAATAACTGACCATGACAATAACTGACCATGACACAATGACATGTAAGTGTTTCATGTACCATCACAAACGCCGACCAACAATCAGGTTGTTTACCTCCGTACACCACACTGATGAGGAACACAAGAGTGCCACAAGGTCCTTGCAGTAAGAAAAGTCTTGACTTCCTAAATAGATTTGGAATGACTCCAGGTGTATCTTGATACAGCATTATGATGGTCAGAAATGTCTCAGCTTCAAACGACAAATTTATCAAAATACAGAGTTATCCAGGAGAACATGGGCCTCACTCTAGGTACTTGAGAGTATGTGATCACTAATGTTGCTCAATTCTTTATCAAAAACACAAAATCTCGATAAAACATAATCCAGAGTAATGGCAACAGAGCATCCTTGTATATCCTCAACCAGCAATCTGTCCTGTCAACTAGAGCACAGACTCACATCAATCCTCGCTTCACCAGACACTTCTGGTAACACATGTTGTACACTACTCAAACATTTGAAACTTTGTAAGTTGGCTGGATGTTGTGGATTTCATGGTTAATATATTAACTTATTAAAACAGTTGACAATAAATATGATAAAACCTCCAGGGTCTTGGGGAATGGCCATGTCTTGGTTTATTGTATAATACACCTCCATTTTATCTCAGCTATAAATAGCTCAGTCTGTGTCAGATGAGGAATCCTGCTCTGCTGGGTTCTCAGCACTGGCCGTGCGTCCTAAAAAACAAACCATAAAAAAATAAGAAAATATTTAGCTAACAAGTACCGTCAATTATTGTGTGTGTTTGACAGACTCAAAGTCAACTGTTGTGTGTGTTTGACAGACTCAAAGTCAATTATTGTGTGTGTTTGACAGACTCAAAGTCAATTATTGTGTGCATTTGACAGACTCAAAGTCAACTATTGTGTGTGTTTGACAGATTCATTGTCAAATATTGTGTGCGTTTGACAGACTCAAGGTCAACTATTGTGTGTTTGACAGACTCAAAGTCAACTGTTGTGTGTGTTTGACAGACTCAAAGTCAATTATTGTGAGTGTTTGACAGACTCATAGTCAACTGTTGTGTGTGTTTGACAGACTCAAAGTCAATTATTGTGTGTGTTTGACAGATTCATAGTCAATTATTGTGTGCGTTTGACAGACTCAAAGTCAACTGTTGTGTGTGTTTGGCAGACTCAAAGTCAACTATTGTGTGTGTTTGACAGACTCAAAGTCAATTATTGTGAGTGCTTGACAGACTCATAGTCAACTGTTGTGTGTGTTTGACAGATTCAAAGTCAATTATTGTGTGTGTTTGACAGATTCATAGTCAACTATTGTGTGTGTTTGACAGACTCAAAGTCAACTATTGTGTGTGTTTGACAGACTCAAAGTCAACTGTTGTGTGTGTTTGACAGACTCAAAGTCAACTATTGTGCGTGTTTGACAGACTCGAAGTCAACTGTTGTGTGTGTTTGACAGACTCAAAGTCAATTATTGTGTGTGTTTGAGCGACTCGAAGTCAACTATTGTGTGTGTTTGACAGATTCATAGTCAACTATTGTGTGTGTTTGACAGACTCAAAGTCAATTATTGTGTGTGTTTGAGCGTCTCGAAGTCAACTATTGTGTGTGTTTGACAGATTCATAGTCAATTATTGTGTGTGTTTGACAGTCTCAAAGTCAACTATTGTGTGTTTGACAGACTAAAAGTCAACAATTGTGTGTTTGACAGACTCAAAGACAATTATTGTGTGTGTTTGAGCGACTCGAAGTACACTATTGTGTGTGTTTGACAGATTCATTTTCAAATATTGTGTGCGTTTGACAGACTCAATGTCATCTATTGTGTGTTTGACAGACTCAAAGTCAACTATCGTGTGTGTTTGACAGATTCATTGTCAAATATTGTGTGCGTTTGACAGACTCAATGTCAACTATTGTGTGTTTGACAGACTCAAAGTCAATTATTGTGAGTGTTTGACAGACTAATAGTCAACTGTTGTGTGTGTTTGACAGACTCAAAGTCAATTATTGTGTGTGTTTGACAGATTCATAGTCAACTGTTGTGTGTGTTTGACAGACTCAAAGTCAACTATTGTGCGTGTTTGACAGACTCGAAGTCAACTGTTGTGTGTGTTTGACAGACTCAGAGTCAATTATTGTGTGTGTTTGACAGACTCGAAGTCAACTATTGTGTGTGTTTGACAGACTCAAAGGCAACTATTGTGTGCGTTTGACAGACTAAAAGTCAACAATTGTGTGTTTGACAGACTCAAAGTCAACTATTGTGTGTGTTTGACAGATTCATAGTAAATTATTGTGTGTGTTTGACAGTCTCAAAGTCAACTATGGTGTGTGTTTGACAGACTCAAAGTCAACTATTGTGTGTGTTTGACAGATTCATAGTAAATTATTGTGTGTGTTTGACAGACTCAAAGTCAACTATGGTGTGTGTTTGACAGACTCAAAGTCAACTATTGTGTGTGTTTGACAGACTCAAAGTCAACTATTGTGTGTGTTTGACAGACTCAAAGTCAACTATTGTGTGTGTTTGACAGACTCAAAGTCAACTATTGTGTGTGTTTGACAGACTCAAAGTCAACTATTGTGTGTGTTTGACAGACTCAAAGTCAACTATTGTGTGTGTTTGACAGACTCAAAGTCAACTATTGTGTGTGTTTGACAGACTCAAAGTCAACTATTGTGTGTGTTTGACAGACTCAAAGTCAACTATTGTGTGTGTTTGACAGACTCAAAGTCAACTATTGTGTGTGTTTGACAGACTCAAAGTCAACTATTGTGTGTGTTTGACAGACTCAAAGTCAACTATTGTGTGTGTTGGACAGACTCAAAGTCAACTATTGTGTGTTTGACAGACTCAAAGTCAACTATTGTGTGTGTTTGACAGATTCATAGTCAATTTTTGTGTGTGTTTGACAGACTCAAAGTCAACTATTGTGTGTGTTTGACAGACTCAAAGTCAACTATTGTGTGTTTGACAGACTCAAAGGCAACTATTGTGTGTTTGACAAACTCAAAGGCAACTATTGTGTGTGTTTGACAGATTCATAGTCAATTATTGTGTGCGTTTGACAGACTATGTCAACTATTGTGTGTGTTTGACAGATTCATAGTCAATTATTGTGTGCGTTTGACAGACTAAGTCAACTATTGTGTGTGTTTGACAGACTCAAAGTCAACTATGGTGTGTGTTTGACAGATTCATAGTCAATTTTTGTGTGTGTTTGACTTGTAAACTGACTCGATAGACTGGTGGTCCATTATTGTGTGTACATGACATCATCCATGGTGTATATGAGCTTAACAAGCCTGACATACTGAAGAGCTAAGAGATGTTTTACCTGAACGAATCTGATTGAGTGAGGCCAGCACACGTAACATGAAGGCGGCCGGCACTGTAATGGTATCTCGGGTCTCCTCTAGCATTACCTCATTCCTTCTCATGATCTGTAGCAAACAAAGTCACACAACTATTGAACTCTATACAGTCCACAACAGTTTCCCATTATGTCTTTCAGGAGCTTAATGAGAGAAAAAAAACTTTTGATAACAATCCGTAGTCCCCAACCTTGGATAAACTCAGGTATCAAAAATAAACAAAAGCCTTAAATCTGTATCAAGTAAATAACAAGAGGCCCAGAGGACCTGTATCGCTCATCTGGATATCTAAGAAAGCATGGCAAAATATTCTGCAAATAAGATCCAAGGGCAAGGGAATATGCCAGATCCCAAGGCCAATCCTTATAGCATATCTGTATTAGATTTTTCATGCCCAGAATTTGTATTTACAGTTTTGGGTTGGGGATCTCAACTGTTTCGAAGTTATGACCCAAGGGTTAAGTCTGCAAGGATGGGGCAAACCCTGGGGTCAATTCTAATATCATGACTGCATTCGTCTCTTTATGCCCAACAATTGTATATATAGTTTTGGGGTGGGGATCTTAACCATTTCGAAGTTATGACCCATGGGTTAAGTTTCCAAGGATGGGGCAGACCCCAAGGCCATCCTGGAAGCATATGTGCAGTCATCTCTTTATACTCAGCAATTGTATATACGGTTATAGGATGTGGATCTCAACTGTTTCCAAGCTGTGACTAAGAAACTAGTTCCCTAGGGCTTTGGTCAGACCCTAGGGTCTATTCTTATATCATGACTACATTCATCTCTTTATGCCCAGCATTTGTATATATAGTTTTGGGGTGGAGATCTCAACCGTTTCAAAGTTATGACCATGGGACTATGTCTCATAGGGTGGGGCCAGACTCTAGGGACATCCTGGAAAAAGATGTGCATTCTTCTCTTTATACTCAGTATATATGGTTAAACGGTGGGGATCTCAACCATTTCCAAGTAATAAACCTTTTTTGGCCCCACCCCTTAGCCCGGGGGGTCAACCCCATCATTTGTACAATTTTGAATCTCCACTACCTAGTGATGCTTCCTGTCAAATATGGTTGATATCCATCTCTTAGTTCCAGATAAGAAGTCGCTTAAAGCAATATAGCCAAATTGACACCTTTTTGGCCCTGCCTCTCAGGGGTCAGCCCCTCCATTTGTACAATTTTGAATCTCCACCACTTAGGGATGATTCCAGTCAAGTATAGTTGATATCCATCACTTAGTTCCAGAGAAGAAGTCGCTTAAAGCAAAATAGCCAAATACCATTTTGGCCCCTGCCCCTCAGCCTCCTTAGGGATCAGCAACACCATTTGTACATTTTGAATCCCTGCCTCCCATGAATGCTTTTGATCAAATATGATTGATATCCAGTGCATAGTTTTACAGAAGAAGTCGTTTGTAGCAATATAGCCAAATTGCCCCCTTTTGGCCCTGCCCCTCAGCCCCCGCCCCCTGGGGGGTCAGCCACACCATTTGTACAATTTTGAATCCCTGCCTCCCATGAATGCTTCCCACCAAATATGATCAATATCCATGGCATAGTTCTACAGAAGAAGTCGTTTATAGCAATATAGCCAAATTGCCCCCTTTTGGCCCCACCCCTCAGCCCCCTAGGGAGTCAGCCCCCTCCATTTGTACAATTTTGAATCCTCACTACCTAGAAATGCTTCCAGTCAAATATGGTTGATATCCATCACTTTGTTCCAGAGAAAAAGTAGCTTAAAGCAGTATAGCCAAATAACCCTTTTTGGCCCTGCCCCACAGCCCCCTGAGGGGTCAGCCACACCATTTGTACAATTTTGAATCCCTACTTCCCATAAATGCTTTTAATCAAATATGATTGATATCCAGTGCATAGTTCTACAGAAGAAGTCATTTATAGCAATAAAGCCAAATTGCCCTTTTTGGCCCTGCCCCTCAGCCCCCTGGGGGGGTTTGACCCTTCCATTTGTACAATTTTGAATCCCCACTACCTAGGGATGCTTCCAGTCAAATATGGTTGATATCCATCACTTAGTTCCAGAGAAGAAGTCGCTTAAAGCAGTATAGCCAAATAACCCTTTTTGGCCCTGCCCATCAGCCCCCTGGGGGGTCAGCCACACAATTTGTACAATTTGAATCCCTGCCTCCCATTAATGCTTCCCACCAAATATGATCAATATCCATGGCATAGTTCTACAGAAGAAGTCGTTTATAGCAATATAGCCAAATTGCTATAGCCAAATTGCCCCTAGAGAGTCAGCCCCCTCCATTTGTACAATTTTGAATCCCCATTACCTAGAGATGCTTCCAGTCAAATATGGTTGATATCCATCACTTTGTTCCAGAGAAAAAGTTGCTTAAAGCTGTATAGCCAAATAACCCTTTTTGGCCCTGCCCCAAAGCCCCCTGGGGGGTCAGCCCAACCATTTGTACAATTTTGAATCCCCACCACCTAAGGATGCTTCCAGTCAAATTTAGTTGAATGCCAATCAGTGGTTAAGAAGAAGAAGTTGTTTAAAGAAATTGTTGTTGTACGGACGACGGACGGACGGATGGACAACGGACGCCACGGTATGGCATATTCGGACCAGGTGAGCTAACAAGCCAGATTTCAGTATGTGACACCTTGCCATCTCAACAATACTTGCATACAAATTTGTTAAATGTATGTAACAGAGTGTGCCTCAGACAAAGTAACAAACAGCGAACGAAGGGGCATAACTCTGTTTATACTGGAGCATAAGACTCAATTTCAGTATGCAAGCAACTCTTCACCATTCAAAAAGCTATTTGCATACAAAAGGCAATAATTGTAATTGGTATAGTTTGAGATTTTCCCCAGAAGCAAACCTAAAGTCACTGGTAGTACCATCAGGGGACTTATTAATTACTTTATTCTGAGCACTCTGCAAAATTATCTGGGAAGAGAAATGTGGAGTTATATTGATATTAGTACTTAAGCCTAGTCGAATTCACACTCATTTATTACCATAACACTTCAGTGAGTCTGATGTCTGTAGATTTGACCCCTGTATACCATTATATACACGTGACACACACATTTATTACCATACGTCCGTAGATTTGACCCCTGTATACCATTATATACATGTGACACACACATTTATTACCATAACACTTCAGTGACTCTGAACTTCCGTAAATTTGACCCCTGTATACCATTATATACACGTGACACACACATTTATTACCATACGTCCATAGATTTGCCCCCTGTATACCATTATATACATGTGACACACACATTTATTACCATAACACTTCAGTGACTCTGAACTTCCGTAGAATTGACCCCTGTATACCATTATATACACGTGACACACACATTTATTACCATACGTCCATAGATTTGACCCCTGTATACCATTATAAACACGTGACACACTCATTTATTACCATACGTCCGTAGATTTGACCCCTGTATACCATTATATACACGTGACACACACATTTATTACCATACGTCCGTAGATTTGACCCCTGTATACCATTATATACACGTGACACACACATTTATTACCATACGTCCGTAGATTTGACCCCTGTATACCATTATATACACGTGACACACACATTTATTACCATACGTCCGTAGATTTGACCCCTGTATACCATTATATACACGTGACACACACATTTATTACCATACGTCCGTAGATTTGACCCCTGTATACCATTATATACACGTGACACACACATTTATTACCATACGTCCGTAGATTTGACCCCTGTATACCATTATATACACGTGACACACACATTTATTACCATACGTCCGTAGATTTGACCCCTGTATACCATTATATACACGTGACACACACATTTATTACCATACGTCCGTAGATTTGACCCCTGTATACCATTATATACACGTGACACACACATTTATTACCATACGTCCGTAGATTTGACCCCTGTATACCATTATATACACGTGACACACACATTTATTACCATACGTCCGTAGATTTGACCCCTGTATACCATTATATACACGTGACACACACATTTATTACCATACGTCCGTAGATTTGACCCCTGTATACCATTATATACACGTGACACACACATTTATTACCATACGTCCGTAGATTTGACCCCTGTATACCATTATATACACGTGACACACACATTTATTACCATACGTCCGTAGATTTGACCCCTGTATACCATTATATACACGTGACACACACATTTATTACCATACGTCCGTAGATTTGACCCCTGTATACCATTATATACACGTGACACACACATTTATTACCATACGTCCGTAGATTTGACCCCTGTATACCATTATATACACGTGACACACTCATTTATTACCATACGTCCATAGATTTGACCCCTGTATACCATTATATACACGTGACACACTCATTTATTACCATAACACTTCAGTGACTCTGAACGTCCGTAGATTTGACCCCTGTATACCATTATATACACGTGACACACACATTTATTACCATACGTCCGTAGATTTGACCCCTGTATACCATTATATACACGTGACACACACATTTATTACCATACGTCCATAGATTTGCCCCCTGTATACCATTATATACACATGTAACACACATTACTCAGTCATATCAGCAACAGACTGTAGCTACCTCATTAGCTTTCTCCTCGTCAAAGCAGCTCTTTTCTTCCATTGGAGACCAAATCTTGACATCATAGTCAATCCCACTGGTGGCAAGGACTGAAACACAAAATGAAGAGTAGTGATGTTCTTAAGCCATCATTTCCTTCATATAAGTAACTTGATCAACATAATTGTAGTAGATTCAAGTCTTAGAAGCATTTTCTGTCGAGAAATCTACATTATTCAGCTTCTTCTCCCATATCAGATATTGTTGACTCTTGCTATGACAGATTTCTCATTTACTTTTTTAGCTCACCTGGTCCAAAGGACCATGGTGAGCTTATGCCATACCGCAGCGTCCGTCGTCCTGCGTCCGTCGTCGTCGTCCTGCGTCCGTCGTCCTGCGTCCGTCGTCCTGCGTCCGTCGTCCGTCAACTTTATACTACTAGTCATGAACCACTGAGCAGATTTTAACAAAATTTGGTGTGGCGCATCCTTGGGTGAGGAAGAACCAATTTTATATAAATGGTGGGTCTGGCCCCACAGGGGCCTGAGGGGCGGGCCCAATAGGGGAAATATAGCAAATTCTTCTTTAAAATCCTTCTTCTCCTGTAGGAATGAAAGGATTTGTTCCATATTTGGTGTGGAGCATCCTTGGGGGAAGGGGAACAAAAATTGTTTAAATGGTGGGTCTGGCTCTTCTGGGGGCTGAGGGGTGGGGCCAATAGGGGAAATATAGCAAATTAATTAAAAACCTTCTTCTTCTGAAGGAATGAAAGGATTTGTTCTATATTTGGTTGAAGCATCCTTGGGTGAAGGGAAACCAATTTTGTAACAAGAGGCCCAATGGGCCTGCATAGCTCACCTGGTATAAATCTCACACTTGTAACCTTAAAAGTGATCTAAAATAAAGCTACAGGCAAAATATCAGTATTTATGATTAAAATTCATTCAAAAGACCCTGTTATTTTTTTTAAAAACATTTCACCCCTGTGATTGAAAATCGAACAAAGTCATTATGTTGAACAAATTTTATAGCCTTTCATCTCAGGATGCAACTTGCAAAGTATCAACATCCTGGGACCCATGGTTATTCAGAAGAGGTCGTTTGAAGATTTTAAACAAATTTGACCCCTGTGACCTTGAATATGTGTCAAAGTCATTCACTTTAACAAACATAGTAGTCCTTGATCCCAG